GATCAATACTCTTGTGAGTTGTGGGAGCTCACTTTTCTTGCACAGAGTGGTTGTCCTCACATGCAAAACTGGGGATCGGGAGTGGGGAACTTATTAGGAGAGTGAACTATGGCAATATGCAAAAAGCACTTCTTTGGGGGGCACCTGGGTGGCTCGGTCGGTTGAGCGTCCGACTTTGGCTCAGGTCACGATCTCATGGTTCATGAGTTTGAGCCCCCCATCGGGCTCTGTGCTGACAGCTCAGATCCTCTGTCGCCCTCTCTTTCTGCCCCTCCTCTGCTTACTCTCTCTCTCTATCAATAAAAGAAAAGGCACTGTTTTGGCTGTCTCTCTAGGATATATCCACAGAGTGTCAGTAAATAGCTGTTTCTGTTATTACCAGGGGTAAGATTCTGGATTAGAACCAATAGCTCCTGAACAACTCAGAGAGAAAGTAAGGTGGAAAATTTACAACGCATATCCTTTCTTGAGGTTGTTGATAAATATCAGAACATAGAGAAAAGATCTGGAAAAGATACACAGGTACACACATGTGCAGTGATATGCACAGCTGAGGAGTGAGGGAAGTTGATAGGTTTAGCTTTTATGCTCAACTGAGTTTCCAAAAGCCCACCGAATGACCAGAGATCTATTTAAATCAGCAAGCACTCTGCTGCTACATTTGAGGACAAGACAGGAGTAGGCAATAGAGGAGAGCCGGTGAGGAATTTTTGATGATATGAACCAGATGGAATCACACTGAATGAAAAGCCCATCAGGGCCCACAGTTCACTGCAGGCAAAAGAAGTCTTTCTCTGGAAAACAGTGAACCAGCCTCTCCAGTAGAACAGCAGGAAACTTGGGCACAAAGCAGCAAGGGCAGGGGCAAGGCTGGGCCAGAAGAATATGTCAGAAGCCACCAGACCCAGGCTCCACTCTGAGGCAAGAATCCAAATGAGCTGGCTAAAACTTTATGTTTTGCATTCAGAAGGACCAGATTCAAGTCTGCGTGACCCTGGGTTCCATCTTGCGCCTTACTGACTCTGCATCTCACTGTGCCCATCTGTAAAAGCAGAATGACAGAACCAACTCTACTGAGCTGGTGTGCAGAGTCATTAACAAATCTCTATCATGCTAGACACTGCTCTGGGTATGGAGGATACAGCAGTGACCACAACAGACAAGCTCCCTGCCTTCATGGGCCGTACATTCTGGTAGAAGGGAGAGGCAACTAATAGATAAATATAAAACATGTCAGGCTGCCTCTCATAGGTGAGCAGTGTTTTATATAGGATTTCAAGAAGATTCTTCCATCAACGTGACATCTGGATAGAGAGCTGAGGGGGTGAATAGATAGGCCACAACTATATCCTGGGGAGAACGTTCCAGGCAGAGTGAACAACTGGTGCAAAGTTCCTTCCAGAACATTCTTGGTATGTTTAAGGACTAGCAAGGAGGCCAGTGTGGCCAGAAAGGAACAAGGAAGGGAGTCAGTGGCAAAAATGTTGTTAAAGAGGTAATGGGGGCCAGATCATATTCAGCTAAGCTTTCCAATATGGTAGCCACTAGTGAAATGTGGCTTTCAGGCACTTAAAATGTAGTTCTGAAATGAGATGTGTAGTAGGTATAAAATATACACAGTATTTTGAAGACTTTATAGAATAAAAAGCATGTAAAATATTTCATTAATAATTTTAGTATATATTACATGTTTAAATGATACTATATTTGCTATATTGGGTCAAATAAACCATATTATTAAAATTGGTTTCACTTGTTTCTTTTTACTTCTTTACTGTGGCTACTAAAAAAATTAAATTACATATATGGCTTGCATGGTATAGGGCATTATAGGCCACAGTAAGGAATCTGGCATTTATATTGAGCAATATGGGAAGTAAATAGAAGTGCCCATAAAGTGCTTAGCATATTTCCTAGAACAGAGTGGAAAATTTTATGAAACTAGAATTCCAGTCACAGAAAAATTGCTCAAATGTAAAGGCAAATAAAGATATTTGAGGGAAAGACATTAGATTCAATAAAGAATAATAACAAAACTAGTACATGTTTGGTTCAAATAATTGTTTAGAATACAGTGATGAATGGTAAAGAAGATGTGATAGATATAGATATAGATACAGATATAGATATAGATAGATACAGATATACAGTGGAATATTATTCGGGGATAAAAAAGAATGAAATCTTTCCATTTGCAACAACGTGGATGGAACTAGAGTATATTATGCTAAGCAAAATAAATGAGTCAGAGAAAGACACATATCATATGATTTCACTCACACGTAGAATTTAAGAAACAAAACAGATGAACACGGGAAGGGAAGGAAAAATAAGATAAAAACAGAGAGGGGATCAAACCATAAGAGACTCTTAAATACAGCAAACAAACTGACAGTTGCTGGAGGAGAGGGGAGTGGGGAGAAAGGCTAAATGGGTGATGGGCATTAAGGAGGGCATTTGTTGGGATGAGCACTGGGTGTTATATGTGAATGAGGAATCACTGGGTTCTATTCCTGAAACCAATACTACACGTTATGCTAACTAACTTGAATTAAATTTTTTTTTAGTGTTTATTTACTTTTGAGAGAGACGGAATGCAAGTGGGAGAGGGACAGAGAGAGAAGGAGACACAGAATCTGAAGCAAGCTCCAGGCTCTGAGCTGTCAGCACAGAGCCCAAAGTGGGGCTCGAACTCATGAACCACGAGATCATGACCTGAGCCAAAGTCAGATGCTTAACCGGGACTGAGCCATCCAGGTGCCCCAACCCACTTTGAATTTAAATAAATAATTTTTTTAAAAAAGAACGTAGTGATGAAGTTTAATGAAACTGACAATTAATGATTATTGAAATATGAAACATAAAGTAAAATAAAAAAGGATCTGACAAACAGATAAAACTGCATACGTTCCTAAATTCCCAGTGGGTCAGAGAAAAACAGGCAAAATAAAAAGAAACAAGTATTTCATTTTAGCCATCCTCATAGATGTGAACTTTCTGCTTTTTAATTTCCATTGACATGATGCTAATGAGGTTAGATACTTTTCATGAACTGACTATTTGTGTACCTCCTTTTGTGACATGCATGTTTCAGACTTGGTATTTTTTTTTTTTTTTTGTAGTCTTGTCCTTTTATTTCCTATTGATTGGTAGGTGTTCAGACATTCTAAAAAAGAACCTTTGTTGGATGTATGCATGACAGGTTAGACATGGATTAGACAAGTGCATGATCCTTGTCTAATTAGGGGTTATGGATCATTTTTCATATGGATATCCAACAGACCCATCACCCTATATTGAAAAGTAATCCCTCCACTGCCCTGCAATGCCACTTTTGTCATAAATCAAGTGACAATACATCCCTAGATCTGTTGGGGGCTCTTTATTCTGTTCCTTTGATCAACTTATCTATCTTTGTGCTAATACCATAGTTTATTAATTATTGTGGCTTTAAGATAAATCTTGAAAATTGGTATAGAAATTCTCCACTTTTTTCTTTTCCTTCAAGATTATCGTGGCCACATGTTAGAATAGGGTTGCCAATTTCTCTCCCTCTCTATCTTTCCCTGTCAGTCTCTGTATCTCTCTCTGTCTCTCTTTCTCTCTCATACAAATATACAACTGCTAAAAATACTGGAGACAAAGTAAATAACAATATAACTAGAAACTTAAAGTTGTTCATGTCCGTGCACACATATTGATATAAATTAGTGAGTTAAATAAATAAGAGAAGGTGTCCAGCTCTTCTTTACAGAAGAATTTCAAATAGTAAATGTACAGGGATTAAGGAAAATAGAAAATCACCATGAGTACACCATACTAATAACTGCTACAAGCAAAATCCATTGATGAATGGTAACATTGTGGCTAAAAGTTCAAGGAGAAACGGGATATTTGCTTAGACTTGATGTTATCACCCCTGAAATATTTATTAATGGTTGTGGTGGTTAACAGCACAAATTATTTGATACTCCTCTCTCAGGACAGTGAGCTTCTCTCCTTCCCTTGGATGTGACCCGGACTGAGTGACTGGCTTCTAACAAATAAAGTATGGAAAGCGAAAAACAGTAACTTTGGACGGAGAAGCCTGGCAACCACCCTAACCAAGCGATCACAATTAATGTCACTTTCATAAGACATATCGACATCATGCATCCCTGAACAGATGCATTGAGAAGGAAATATCACCTCTGCATTCTACTCCATAATCCAGAACCTCATCTCATCTCTACTCCTCAGAAAACCTCAGGGAAAGCCAAGTCAGGGGGACATTGTAAAAAAAATAACCAGTTACGACTCTTCAAAATTGTCAAGGCCATGAAAGTAAAAGAATGACCAGGGAATGTCACAGATTGGAAGAAACTCAGGACGCATGACAACAAAATGCAATGTGATATCTTGGACTGGGTCCTGGAACAGAAAAAGAACATGAATGGAAAAACTGCTGAAATCTGGTCAGAGTCTGGGGTGTGGTTAATGGCAATGTGCTGACGATAATCTTACTTTTGACAAATACACCATGGCTACGTGAGATGCTAACATTAGGAGAAGCTAGGAAAGGGCAGATGGGAACTCTCCGTTTTTTTTTTTTCCAACCTTCTGTGATCCTAAAGTTATTTCAAAATAAAAAGCTATGACGTATTTTCTGGAAGGTTCTTCAGCAGTCTCTCCAGAGTGGTTATCAGGTTAATGTATACAAGCAGGCCCATATTCCATTTTATACCTTCCTGAGTATGGCCTTTTTTTTTCTTCCTTTCTTTTTGAAAAATAGCGTTTATAATGAAACATATGTTCTATTTTGATTTTTAGAAAGCCACTCTGGGAACAAGATGTGGGGAAAAGATGTCTCAAAAGCTGACCCAAGCAGAGAGAATGTCGTTGCTTGGGGATCAAAGCACTGAGAACTATCAGCGTGATTGGAGTCAGTAAAGCTACTACTTGGGCTCTGCAGCATGTTGAAGGCTTGAGGGGACAACACCAAACAGAATAGGGTTACTCACCAGCGTGACTTTCCTCTGCGGTTTCAGCAGCTTCGGTTTATGGAACGTGGCAGCTATGGGGGCTGTGGAAGCGTATGAAGAGTTTAGCTTCCAATTCTCCCCAGACTTCTAACGTCCACATATCATGAGCAACACAGACATACTCTGTGGAGACTCATGGACCCCTTCCTGCCCCTATGGAAGAACTCCCGTTTCTGACCTAGATACCACTGGGTGCCCCTCGATGGAGAGCAATTCTCCCCTAGTCTTTAGCCATGTCATCCTTTCCCATCTTCAAGGTCAACGAAACAGCTCTGCATAAAACCCTGCCAGCTACAAAGAGGTCAGGTGTGCAGGTGAGAACCAGGTGTGTTTGGTAAAGGCCGAGCCTGGGAACTTCCCTGGGGCTTCGTTCTAACTACACACTAACAGTGAAAGCAGTGACCTTGACCCGCACAGCAGCCCTGACAGGTCATCAGGGAGGGTCTTACTGTCCCCACTTAACAGAGGAGAAAACCAAGGCTCTTCCCCACCATGTCATGTAATGAGTATTTCAATGATTTGGAACTTAAACTTGACCTTCAAAGTCAGACAGACCTCACCTCCAAGCCAGACTCCATCACTTAGCTCTCTGAGTCTCACTTTTATCTTTGGTAAGGTAGGGTACTATCTACTCTGATTGAATGAGATGTTACGGCAGGGTTCTCTGCCCCCTTCCCTCCCCGGATCTGCACTTGTCATGCCTTCCAGAACGCCCAGGCCTTCCAGCCTTTCTGTCCACCCAACGTGTGTTCAGCCTGAGCACCAGTGGCATTCACCACACGACCCCAAGGGTCTCTAGGTGACAGCCTGTGAAGCCCCACCTGAGGGATAAAATATATCTTGTCTTGTTATTTAAATTGTTTATCTGGGAGGTCCTAGTACTTCCAACTACATTTCAAATTATTTGAGGCATGAACGTCTCCCAAATTGGCCATGGTAATTTTAGGAACTATCTGTAGATGGTCTTAGTTCTCCTAAGATATGAGCAGTTCTCTCCTCCAGAAACACCCATCTTTCTCACCCACGTTGCTCTACATTATAACTGGAATCAAAGACCAACCCTCATTTCATCCCCAGGGCCAATCCAAAATAAACTACACACCTGGTTTACATCTTTAGAAAAATCAGAGGTTTCTCTCCCTTGAATGAACCAAGATGTTGACACCCCTTGTCCCACCTCACTATGTGCAGAGCATGTTAATAGTTGAAATAATAGTTGAAATATATTTCAGTGTGGATGGAATATACTGTGGAATCAGTCTCTGCATGTTGGCTCCCCCACCCCCCCACTAAAGCATGCTGAGCCAGTGCACCACCCCCAGCCCCACCTAGTAATGGGGCTCAGTTATGATCAGAATCTAGGTGGGGTTCTCCAAGCTATATAATCACTGGATGTCATGTCTTCCATCTGTCTACTCCCCCTGTCCTGGTCCCACTTCTAACCCCAGACCCACTCTGGATCAGTCGAGCTGGCTCCGCGTGGGTAACTGTAAGCTAGCTTCCTACCTTTGGCAGGGACTGCAGGAGGAACGTCAGCCTTCTCCTTCCGCCTCTTGCCTTTCTTGGGTTGCAGCGGGGCCAAGCTGGTCACACTGGTAACGGTCTCCCCTGAACTATAGAAGAGAAGAGTCTTGGTGAAGGCAAAATCGTATTTGTTCCAGGGAAAGGGAAAGGAAGTAATAGTTTCTGTATGCTTCCCGAGTACCTATCTAAGGTCAGGTTATCTTACAGCTGGATTGGGATCACTCTATGTTTATCTCCAGGGATGTCTGGAGGTCTGGGACTGACCTACGGCTAAGATAAGGATGTTGAGATGAGCTAGTTAGTGGTTTATAATGTGCTTTTTAAAGTTCACAGATCCCTGGAGAGATCCAGAACCAGCTTGTCTACACAGTTACAGATGTATGGATTGATAGTTTATACTGATTTCATGAATTATGGAGTTTGGCTTGGCCACATCACTAGTAGGGTATTAAGATACCTTTTGAAACTTCTGCTTGAGCTTCCATAAAACCGAGATTCTTGGCACATATTTTTGTGGTTCCCAATCCAAAAACAGAGCCCCTCCTGTGCAAGGGAGAACGGAACTTGGGAGCTGCACCTGGAAGTCTCCAGGGTCCCCCATGATGGTTCGTGCTTTTTTCTGGAAGTCTCCAGGGTCCCACATGATTGTTCATGCTTTCTTCTGGAAGTCTCCAGGGTCACCTATGATTGTCACACTTTCTTCTGGAAGTCTCCAGGGTCCCCCATGATTGCCACGCTTTCTTCTGGAAGTCTCCAGGGTCCCCCATGATGGTTCGTGCTTTCTTCTGGAAGTTTCCAGGGTCCCCCATGATTGTTCACGCTTTCTTCTCCTGCTGTACCTTTACTGTTAGTAGCGGGTAAGTGGCTTCACCCTGAGGAGGGCTGTGGGTGTTTTCAGTTATCTGGCCCTGTGTATAATATCAGATTCTATATCTATAATATCACATTCCTGTCATGTGTTACCCATGACAACCCAGAATGACGACACTGATAAATAAGCCTTATATTACAGGTAAGACATAAAGGACCTAAGTGACAAAAGATACAAACACAGACTGGCTTACTGTGAAATCTTGATCCTACATGTGGGATGAAGTGTATACACTTTATTGAATGGCTATCACTCTTATTTCAAGTGCGTCATATTGGCTCCAGCAACCCATAGGGAAGCCCCTTTTAGAATCTCTTATCCTGAGGTACATCTCTTATCCAGGCAGGTGCAGTTAACCAAGACAGACTATCTCCCTCATACATAAAGACTTTTTAGAAAGCCTTAAGCCTATGACCAACTGCCTAATAATCAAAATGAAGGAAGGCAGTAAACAGTTATCATGCAAGAGGAAAGGCTCTTACCTATGAAAACATGCTAAAGCTCCCTCACAAAAGAAATCCAAATTAAAACATACTGCACTTCCTTTCTCCACATGTCAGAATGGCAATAATCACATTGGAGGCAAAGTGCTATTTTGCCAAGAATGCAGACAATTGGGCACTCAGATGTATGGCTGGTATGAGTGTAAACCCTTCCCAAAGGAGAATACTTGGCGATAAGAATAACTTGGCAATCAGAATAATTTGGCAATCAGAATTACAGAGGCTTCTACTCTGACCCAGCGATTTCACTTCCGGGAATTTATTCTGTGGATATCCTTGCATGTGTATCAAATGTATGTGTAAGATTTGTCCTTACGGTGCTGTTGTTAATAGCGATAAGAACCCAACTGTCCATCAGCAGGGGACTGGTTAAGGAAATGACAGTGAATCTACCAATCCACAAAGGGGGGGGGGG